AGTGCTTTTTATCCAGAAAAACCACAGCTCTCCAGTTTACCACACGACTTCTGTTCACATTTATAAGTTTTAGATTACTTTGTTGACTTACTGTTCTCCTGTAAATATGCGTATTGCAGACTCAGAGCAATTACATGTTGATTATTTTGCTATAATAACACACATTAAGTACAGAAGTCATCGTATTTTGTATCCCAAAATCGTTGGCTGACCTTCTGGGCCGGGGTCGGCCGAACTATCGCAGCCTTCCTTCCATGGCTGCAGGGCAGCAGTTGTGGTGTCAGCACTCCCGCTGGGGTCCAGGCTAAACATGTGGTTGGCCCATGCTTTCGCATTGGGGTTGAGGTCTGAAACCTTGGCGGATTCCTGCGAACAGAACACAAAGAATATGTCGCTGTCAGCTGAAACATATCTGCAGGATAACAGCAACTTACAGCGAAAATTAAAGACAAATATTAACTCTTTGTGCTTAATTTAATTCTGTACAAATGTTGTAAATCATTAATAATCTGTTGACTGTGTAAAATATATAGACAAACTCATCCTGTAGCTTCAACAGTTGAGTGGTGTAAAACACTGAACAAGGAAAACAGACAAGAGCGAAACTAAATTCAGCAACAAGGAAACGAGCAAACAACCGAAGATTGAAACAGATATTTTAAGTTTGACACGATTATTACACTAATTATATATATTATATTATAGTCTGTTATCCTTTATTTAGATTTTTCTTTCCAATATTTTGGTTTTTAAACCATTTTTAAATTGCCATTTCCACTCGTTGTACCATTCAGGCTGAAGTACGGTGCTTCACACATATTATGGAGGAAACTTAAAACTCACAACAGAGCCTGTTAGTGATGCAAGTGTTTGCAGAAGTGACGTTATTACTTATTACTATTACATAGTTCAGCAACACTCGTACACCTCTTGAGAAATACATTGTTTGTTGAATCTCTGCACGATTAAAAGAAGGTTCTCAGTTATAATCACTTTAATGTTTGTTACCGAACAAACCGAAGCACTGCGAGTGATCTGCCCTAATCAATAAGTGTCCACAATCCTCGTGTATTTTCTAACTCGAGCGAACAGAAATCCTCCAACAGTCACTCATCGATCGCGTCACCAAGCCTCCTCGGACCGACGGCACCTGACAGGAACCGTCTCGGAGCAGCAGAGACAAGCGGACAGCGACTGCGCTGCTGGACATACTCACAGGATCAAAGCAGCAGCTCAGCATGCACGTCTCACATGCTAACAGACTGTAACCCAGAGCCGTGGTCAGAGCCAGTGTTTCATTGAAGTCCTGAGGCAGAGCGGGCCAGGCGCTTCCTGGCGGTGGTGGTATGAGGCTCCACTGCATCCAATCCATGATTTAACGCACATAAACACAGTCTAAGTGTCTCCACAGACAGGCAGACTCACGACCAACATTGTATGCTTTAAGCCACAACCGGGGCTCCTTCAAGTGAAGCCGCCGCCGCACCTCTCTAAAGTCGTCCCCGTCAAATCACTGCCACGCTCCGTCTGGCCCTCTCCGATCCGAGCTGCTGGGTTGATTCAACAAATCTGATGACAGCACTGAGGCTCCTCTGCCCCGGTGGGCTTGGCTGACGTTGCAGAAGCTGACTGGCTGTCTCGCTCCGTCTCTGCTTTTGTTTTGTCGCTGTTGCACTGAGTCATTCTCCGGCAAAAAAACACACTGTGTGAGCTGTAGAGGGAGTGTGGAGTCGCCGCGCACCTGAGCTCAAACGAAGCCTGCTCCAGTGATCCACGTGCTAAAAACAAAAAAAATAAATCAACCCTGAGGCGTCGCTCAAATTAAAGCAGCCCTCTTGAGCCTCGGTTTTAATAGAGTATTCTGCTAACGAGCCGAGTCGCTGAGGCAAAAAAGAAAGGCTGGGAAACCTGCTTCTTCTTATTCAAGTTAATACAGAATCAGAAACAAAAGGAAGATCGACTGAAAAAGGAAAGGAGGGTTGAGCGGAGAGGGGGAAGAGAGAGAAACCTGAGTTGATCCAAGGTGAGCTGTTCCTGGGTCGTATTTCACAAATGCTGCACTACGAGATCATTCTGGCCAGACAGACACGTACCCCCCCCCTCCCCTCCGCTCCATCCTCACCCACTAATAATAATCCAGCCCTGCACTAATGTAAAAAAAAAAAAAACTCCCACTCCTGTCCGTGCTGGACTGGCTGCCATAGAAACTGTTGCTGACATCACCGGATGTGTACGTTTCTGGGCACCGCTTGACCTTTCAAGATTTTGAAAATGTTCCCTTCCTTCAGAGAGGAGGGAAAAGGTTAGCTGCTCCCCTGATCGAGGGTGTATTTCGGGCGGAGACGAGAGGATGTGATTCATCATGAGACGAGTTATTGTCAGTGTCATCGGAGGGCAGCCGGCGTAGCGCTGGGGTTTTATTGCTCTGCCTCTCTGATGGCAGACAGAACGACAGAGACAGCAGCCGAGTCCTTCAGGGGAGAAAACAAAACAAAAAACAGCTGAATTTGGATTTATCTGTCTGTCTGCAGACCTGAGGCTCATCTTCCCTCTGTGACAGATGCAGAGCTGATGAGGGACAGCGGGCCAGATGAGCGCTGAACACTCAGGAGGCCAATGCATCACAAATACTGTAACAAAGCCAACCAACTCAGTATCTCTAAATGTAATAGTTCAACCCTCGTCTCCACTAGTGGTTGAAGCTTTCAGACTCAACACAAACCTGGGAGGTTAAATGATCAACAACCTACATCTCTTTAGATTTATTGTCACAAATGTTTTACAAAACTAGTGATTAAAACAAGAAAGAGCTCGTTCCAGATCGATTTATTCATGAATTCAAACAGGTCTGGTGAGCTCACTGACAACCAATCAGAGCTCTGCACGAAGGATTAAAACAAAGCTGGCAAGCAACCTGAACACATCCATGAACAAAGTGACGGGATGAGATGGATGCAGCTGTACATCAGGGCTGTACGATACACTAATCTCGCGATACGATACGATACACTTACATCATTTTCTGAAAGATTTTAAAGGGACAGTGTGATTTTGGTGACATCTTGTGAGTGTTCCATTGACTTGGATTGAATTAACTGAACTGAAAACTACTGAAATGACACAATATACTAGGCTGACTGGACAGACATCTACAGCTGGACAAAATGAATCAAAGATGTGGTGAGAAAGTTTGTTTCATTTACTGAAACAGTGCAAACTGTAGCTTACTCTAACCTGTATTACTTTCCCACCTTTGTACTGCAACTGTTGCACAGTAATTTCCTCGGGATAAATAAAGGCTTGTTGAAAGAGCAACATTTAAACATTTACCCTAAAATGTCCCGTCTTAGCCGAGTAGTTTAAGGCCAGGAAGAAGAAGACGTCTGTGTAAAGGAGTACCGACGGGTAACTTGTTAGAAATGCTCTAACAGCGACACTAGCGGCTGACTGACCTCATCGCTCTTCCTGCAAAGCGAACAGGGGAAACGGGAGCGAGCAGAGTGCCAGGCGGAACACGGGGGATTTGAATGGGACTTAATGTGTCGATACTCGCGGTGAAAAATCGTTACTTTCCGGGGAAGCAAACTATCGATATATATCGCAGGATCCATAAAATTGCTCAGCCCTACTGTACAGGTTGTCGTACGCCGACTTACAGAAACGACAGCTCGTATATTTCTTCAATCACTGTCAAAAGGTTAAAGCGGCTACAAGGAACCTTTAATGTGTGTCTGATTCTGGCGGCCCCTGTGGACAACAGCGGTAGTGTAACAACTATACAGACATAAATCGGTATTACACTTGGACAGTTTCATGACTTATGTCGACGTCAGCAGGACAGATTCGTCTGTGACCCCTGAACAGAAATCAGCCAACATGAACACAATGTCAGGCTGAGTGAACGAAATAAATAAAAACATGATTATCAGACTACTGCAAATAAAGCCGAGTAATTATTTATTGTTCATCGACTTTCAAACCTGCTGTCCAAACGTATGTTTCCAGGTAAAGTGACCCCGTTTGTCAGATTTGACCATTTTCACATCCTGACTAAGTTAGAAATTCAAACTGTTTCCTATACTTCAAGACTGCTGAGACGCAGATTATTGGGGTTTGAATTCTCAGCATGTAAACTCCCAACTGCTTCACATTTTCATATTAAAAAAAAACAAAAAACAAGCCCAAGGCACCACGTTTGACTTCCAGCACCGCGAATCTCTCTCACCATCTGTGCAGTAAATGTGTGAAGAACAGTACAGTTGGTAAATACCAGTCTGACACCGAGCTGTTCTTTAACTGAATGACAAACATCTTTTGGTTTTTCGGAGCTCGACTGACTGACCAACAACAAAACTACTTCTGCATTCAAACACAAACATCGTCGTACCTGCGAATGCTCTTTGAGTAAATTGCCTGTTCACGGTAACATTTCCCGAACGAGACGAGGATCTGATCCTTCTTTCCTTTTGTCCGTAGCGGATTTGATTTTACACGCAGGGCTATAAATGGGTCATGTTTAATTTCTGGTCTGGTTTCTAACACATATGTGCAAAGCATATGGTGTTTCTCTGCGTGTATGCGTGTGTGTGAATAACGAATGAGGTGGAAAACATATCGGTTCAGAAGCACCATACGTGTTACTGTGGCGCCAGTTTGAGTCGGGGTTAAACTACATTTTGATTTCTTCAATAAAAGAAGGAGATTTCTACACAACTGAGTCTTAAATTTATTGTTTTCCTAGAAAGCGTGTTTTTTATTTTACTGTTTATATTTTAAGATCTATTAGACGCTCTTAGTTAAATTGTTTTATTATCACCGATGTAATTACTCCATAATGAATACTTGTGCCATTTTAATCCTGATCTGCAGTCATGCAGAAGTAGGTGTGCATCAGACTCTTTACGGTCTGTTGTCCCAGCACTTCTCGTTTCACATGTTTCCATAAACTGCACATTTTGGACGTTTTTTCTTCAAGATTTTGTCCTGTGTTCAAAATGCAAAGTAACAAACGTTTAAGCAAATAAAATGTGCATTTACAGAGATAACCTGCACTGAACTGCAACTTCTGTGCAGACTTTTTGTGCAGTTTAAAACTGACGTAGCGTATGGGGGGGGAAAAGACGTCTGTAATTCCTCAGGAACCATGACGTCCTGAACTGTGTGTATTCAACCCTGGAAGCAGTATTTTGGTTCTCTGACCGCTTTTCCCACCACTAATCCCGGCTTGTAATGAGACCTAAAGCCTGAAGCATTAGCCCACTGGACTCAGCCGGCGGTGGGGGGGCGGGGTTGCCCCTTCCTTTTCACTGCCAATCTTCTTTCCAATCTTAAGCGTGTGTAAATGACAGTGGAAAAAAAAGACAGCAGGCTCTTTCCATTTCCTAATTTTGGAGCTCTCCGGAAAAATAACTTTTTCTTCGCCCCGAAGGCCATCCGCTTACTTCGTACCCGTTTCCTTTAGTTGCACATTCTTTCCTATTTGAGAAGGTTGATTGAAACCCATCAGGGAAACATGAAGACACATCCCAGTGCTTGTCCCTGCATTTCCTCTGCACCGGAGCAGCAGCCGCGCTTCACCAACACCGAGTACGATCCCATCGCTGCTAGAAAGAGTGTTAAAATTAAGTATGACCACTAAAGATATTCCTCTAAACAACAACACAAAGAAGAATGATCTCTGATGAAAAAGGAGAGTGATTTAAGGTACTGGAGCGCTGCACTAGAATCACAAACGGGGAGTGATCTGGAACATGAACACTTTCTCCTCAAGCCGGAGCGCCGGTGCCAAATACTGCAAAACCAAAACAGATTTGGGGCGAGAAAGAAGAAACTTATGTTTTTAATCTAGCTTGAACAGCTACTACAACTCACCACCCACCTTCAGTCTAAGCAGCCGTGTCTTTTTCTTGGACAAGAACCAGAAATCTTAAAACGACGGTTGGTGAAGTGGCTGGTGGGAGGGGGGCAGGTTCACTCGTCACAACCAGAACTTACCAGTATTTGGCCCGAGGGCTGGCGCAACGTCCCACCGCGGTGACCGCATTTAGCCCCGACAGTCGTTGCAGAAGTGTCACATGTGCTACCATCAATCAAACCTGCGGGGTTGTGTGGCGGCCCGGCAGAATCATGAGCCATACAGGCGGTAAAGAACGAACCGAGGAGTCTGTGGGGAGAGCTCGCCAGATCAGCTCCGCACCTCGAACCCTACCATGTTTTTACTGAGTTTTTACTCTGAATTTGAGGCTTTTGGCACATTATTTGGTCCGTCAGTGGTACTTTAGATGTTATAGGACTTTTTATAGTGTTGTTGTTTTTAAATAAACAGCAAATATCTGTCAGTGTTGATGCTGGGTCAATAAATGTACCGTGAGGCTATAATATAAAGAATAAATGCTGTTTTTCATGGATTTTATGATTAAAGTGTGAAGCATAATGTTGTCATGAAGACGTGAGCTGTGAGGTGTAAAAGGAGTTTTAACCATGGAGGTACAGACAACACCTGCCGGGGTTACCTTTGAAAAACAGTCTAATTTTACCAGAGACAGTCAGAGGCTCTTCAGCTATAATAATAATAATGTTTCTCTGGTTTCAAGGCTCATTTATGAATGTTTGTCCTGGATGTACATTAAAGGAATCGCAGTGTTTCATGTAAAATGATACAGGTGGCTGCTGAAGCTCAAACAGCTTATGGAAATCCACAGTCTGTTTTAATTCCCACAGATAAATCATTAATGTGTTAATATACATTCACTTTTTTGGGGGGGAATAAATTAAAGTTGTCACTCACTATTGATCACATTGACAGGGTTCATACCAGAGTAAAATTCAAGCATTTTCAAAGGTACTAAAAACAGAAAACAACCCTCTTTTCATTTGGTTTTAGATGAGTGATCGTGTGTATTGTTGAAAATCAACCGTTAACTGTTAAAATTAAGCGTTTTCCAAAACCGTCACTGAACACGGACTAATCAAATCAAAGAAAATGATGGCATACACTTTTCCCTGCAGCTCGTAAACATCTTCCAATGAAGCCGACCCATTCACAGCACCTCAAACCTCTGAGGACAAAGTGCAGCAGTGACTGATGACTGCAACCAGATATTGTTTGGTCGGTCTGATGGATGGTGACAGGCTGAGCACTGAACTATTAGCCCAGAGGGAACGCAGGTCTGATGCAACCGTTCTGAAAATAGTTCCCAAAATTAAAGTTATGACAACTCGGCTGGGTGTTTTCTTTCTTCTCTGTTACGAACGATTTAAATCTTTTGGGTTTAAGTAACGGCAAACATCTCACAATCGAGACACAACGAGAGAAGAGATTAAAAGACTTGAGGTCGGAGAATGAAACCGAAAGCTTCTTCACTGCGGTTCATCTGGCAGAGACAATACGAAGACTGAGAGGAGGCTTCACAAACTTTAGATATAAAGTCAACATCATAAAAGGTATGTTTTCAGTTGCTCGTCTTATTTGCGATTTGGTTTGTTTGAAACCTTTGAGCGCGTAACAAAAAGAAGCTTTTTTTTGGAAGTAGTTTCAGGTACATTGAGCAGACTAAAACAACCAAAGGAAGCGGTTTGGAAAACACTCAGATAAGCAATCACAGAGGTATGAAGATGTTAAACCATTTTAAAAACAAGTCACAGTGATCGTACTGATATTTTGTTGCTTGCTAAAGCGTCTGATAGTCGGCGATAAGTTCTCCAATCGGTACATTTAAATCTTTAACCGTCGACCTCAATAAATCTAAAATGTAAAACCACTCTGCTTTTTATAGACGACCTGTGGTTAACTTCGGCAGCTACCCTCGTATTAAGAGGGAAACACTAATGAAAAGGTGCTTTTTAAAGGTAATTCTACGTCTCGACGAACGGCATTATGTGTGTGTGTGTGTTTGAACTTCTCTTAATGCGGCAGCTGACTTTAACTAACTTTATCGGCTGCTGTTTTTATTACTTTACACTATTGTTACAGGATTATCTCACATTTCTATTCAGTGTTAGTTTACAGAAATGTAACAACACTTCAATAAGTTATTAATAGTTATATTATTAAGCAAAAATTACAACTGATGCTGAATTTGAAGAAAGAAATCAACAAATTGAACAATTTATATATAAAGAATATGTATAATATAATCATTAGTTGCAGGTTCAACATAAACTACTTTGAAGAAGTGAAAAGGTGCCACAGTTCAACAGGAGGGACATCAGAGGACTAAAACAAACACAATACAGATTTAGTAAAAAAGGAGGACAGGAGCATAAAACACGGAGGCTTTAATGATTATTAATTACGCTGCGTTCACACAGATTCAGGCAGACAGCAGCAGTTGTTTAATGTCTGTCTGAATCCGTGTGAACGCAGCATTAACCCGTCGATCGTCATTCTCAAATCAATCGATTAGTTGTTTGGTCCATAAAATGTTTGTTTCCTATAACGTCTCGTTTTATCCACAAACCAAAAGACATTCAGTTTACCGTCGTGGAGGATTAAAGAAGGATTACTCACATCTGAGAGAATCACAAAATGATCAACTAATTATCAAAATAAGGCAACTCTAGTCAACTCCAGGACAACAAACCAACAACATCCACAGGCTAACTGGAGTGAATCTCTTATAGTTCAGTCCCAGCACTCGTCCTGACCGTTACCGTCGGTGTCGTCACGTCCACCCACGGAGGAATCAGAAATCTCTCAGTTTTCAGCCCTTCACGCTCCAACAAGGAACAAAATGTCACGCCAACGATCAATAGTGCCACTATGACGGACTTTATGAAGAGAGAGAAATAAAAACAGGTCACGGTTATTCAGTTACAAGACTTGCTTCTTTCTTCGGCCTCGTGTTTCTTTCACAGAGCCGCTCCCCATTGTACATAATCAGTGTGTGAAATCAAAGGCAGTCGAAAGCAGGCAGTGTCTGCGTGTGAAGCTCTCTACAAACATCAGCCGGTCTGCAGAGCGACTGGCACAATCTCCTTATGCTTTGAATTCAACCGCATTTAATATCTGCCGTCTGCTGTCCAAAGGCACACTTCACTATTCGACAGCCGGCACGCTGCAGGAACTGAAACTGAACCATTTCACAAAGGTTCGCCCGATAAGATGCAAAATATACACAAAATGGATGAGTTATTGAACAGATAGACGAAGACACAGTACAAGTTCTTGTTTCCACTGTGGTCCTGGTTAGATCAAAGCAAACTAATATTAATATACAACTACCAACTAACAACAAACTCTCTATACATTGAAGTTATTGAAGAAAACATCCTTCGTTAATCTGCTGAAGCCACACACACAAACGTTCTCCAGCTTCGCGTTTCAGAATCCATTTCATTGCTCCACTACTTTAATTTAGTCTCGATGAAGAGCGTCAACCGCCCGCCCGCGACCTTAATGCGACGACACACAATAAAACCCATTAAACTTCATCCGCCCGGCAAACGGCGGCAATAAAAACACACAAGCAGCAGGTAATCTCTCACGTTTCAGTCGGCATCGACGACGTCAACGTGAACCACAGAAACACCTGGAAGAAAAAAACCTCCGACAACTTCGTCTTTACACACAAATTAACCGTTCTGCTGCTGCAGTTTTAGGTATTTAATTTGGAGCAATTAGTCAATTTACAGACAATTAGCAACTAATTACTTACTTGAGAAAATGGATCAAAGTTTAATTGAATTTAATTAGCTGGATGAGCCGAAGGACGACGTTCCTGTCTGATTAGTTTATCCATAAAGAGTTGGTTGATATAATATATGTATCACAATAGATAGTAAATGATAAAAAAAAGGATATTATCCATATTAATTCACCAATACGGCAAATGATAGTAACTGTTTGGCAATTATTTAATAATCTACTAATTTATTTGTGATTTTAAAATGAAGTTTTTAACTTAAGATTAAGATAATTCACTGTAATAATAATATTCTCGCGTGTGACGACCTAATTTGTCACTTTTAGAAGAAAAAAAGATGCATTTCTACAACTTAAAAAACAAACTTTACAACCTTTTGGGGGAAAACAAGACATCTTCAGTGTGTGCGGATGTAAAAACTCACCAAATGAGAGTTGTCCTTTGCCTCTTGTACTTGCTGCACCTGTGGTTCAGCTACAACTTTCGTGTCCTGGTCAGAAGTCATGAGCCGTCTGCTTCTTGGCTCCTCAGGGAGAAGTCTCTGTGTCACCAAGTAAGCTACAGGGGGGCAGAGGGGACAAACAACTTCGATTCAAGAATGGATGTTTTTATCACAATATCAGCTCGTTACACGTGTGCGACGAGGAAAAGGCCGGGGTGCAGCGTCCCACAGTTAACCTTATAAAAGATAAATAATTATGGGAGTTGTTTTCAGTCCCAGAAAGATCTGGACCCAGTTTGTGACATAAAACTACAATTGTTGAGGATTAAAACTGAACTCTTGCGTCCGTTGTTAAAGTTAAAACTGAGAAAACAAACACAAACAAACAAACATTACTAGAGAGTCTCGTTAAATCATTTTCCAGGACCTTTCCAGGACGTTTTCCAGGTGCTTTCCTTGACAATACAGGACAGTAGTTGCCTAAAAACAGCATTTACAGATGGGCCGAGTTTACAGGTTCATTACAGGTCGGTGGTGTCGTCTCCGGTTAACTCAAAATTACACTTTTCCAAGATAGCGTCGATTATTTCCAGGATGTTTGGTCATTTTAACAGATTTCCAGCTGCTTTAATCACCAGAAAACCAGTCTGGAGTCAGACCAGTGCGAGGTTTCTGAGTCCTGTCAGGTTTTATGGGGGAAATTCACCGATTACCAACGAGGAAACCAGTATACTGATGTTTAAAACTGAAATTAAGCATCTGAGACCAACACGATGGATTAAACAGGTTAGGACTTTATAAAGCAGATTTCTGAATCATTTAATGGATCAATAGTTAAACCTGCTGTGGACCGACAGGTTTAACAGATTATAAAACCTATGAACAGAAAGCACCAAACAAACAGCCTCAACTACTCTGCTTTAATTATTCAATCAAACTGAAGTCGAACACGTTGTCATGTTTAAATGATTCAGAAATCTGCTTT